GCGCGAACCTTCGCGAATATCGCGAACATTTAATTGAAAATGTGGTGAAAGACCGCTGCAACACTTACAATATTGTCTTGTTTTTTGTTTTGAAATGTGAGTACAAGGTGCACTTGAAAGAAAACTACTTAAAAAAGAAGAAAAATCTTTAAAAAATTGAAATTTTGTTTAAAAAATTGAGTTGAAATGCTCCCCGTCCTCTCTGTCGGGGAACGCGGGGAGCGGTCATTCCTCGACGGGGTCCCCTCCCCGCGTAATTTGCTCTCCGACTTATTCGCGGGGATCCCCCCCGTCCAATTTACTCCTCGCGGGGACCCCCCCCGTGCGAAAAATTGCTCCCCGACGAACACTAGTTACGAGTAATAGAACTAAACAACAACAATAGATCAATGCAAGCAAAATAAATGAAGGTCAGTCGTTGATGATGAAATTCAAATATTCGTTTCAGAATATAAGTCATTAAACATGAAATGATTATTGAAATTTCCATCGAACTTCTAGGTTTTTTTTTTCATTATATAGAACGCACTGCGTATAAGAATCGAATAACGAACAACTTCCGGCACCCATTTGATCATCGTGCCCATTCTATAGTTATTTAACATCTTCCTTCAGTTTTCAACCTAACTGTATTGTATACAGCATCCACATTCATGGCTGTGAGCTGTAGCATTATTTTTCGTTACTTAATTACTTTTGTCCGTCAGTTATTGGTACCAACCAAATGCACTTGAAGGTTTTCGTTCGCTGATGAATGGAACTAATTAAATAGTGATGTCATTTCAAGTGTCTGCATGTCCTTTACCAAAGGGAATCGAATAAGTGAGGAATACCGTATATGGCCCATTCAGGGCCTTAAACTTCGTACAGGAGCTTTGCATGCACAATGTGAGCTGCTGAAAGCATCCGCATACCATTACGAATTAAAATCTGAAGGTACTACGAAATGCCAAGCCGAGTACCATATGTTGTTAAAATAGTAAGCAGCAATGGACGACTCAGAAGCACGTGAATAAAAAGTGAGCATGAGCGGTGATCGAGCAACACCATTTTTCGTAAACGCTGCACCACAGGTAACGGTCACCAAACGAAAGCAAAGCACGATATGATCTTAGAATAAGACTATAAAATGAGACTAAAGAGCAATGAATCATGTACTTTCATCCACTTTCGATCAATACAAACCGGAGATATCATCAAGAAGTTCGAAACCAGAGTTTGCATTAATTTGATTTCGTGATCTCACATCAGTCACCTCTCTTCAGCACCGGATAACGTCGAATTAAATCTCAAATACCGATTCGATCAACGATAATTTCTTGTCATCTTGAAAAATACGTTACACAATTTTTAAATTCAATTTCGCTCCGGTATCATGTCAACAACATTCTTACAATTGTTGACGTTTTAATTATTAGAGTTAGGAACGGGATGAATTCCTTGACACCACTTCTCGAAAGCTGGATGAAGGACTCATTTTGCGAGGTCAGCTCTCTCCTGCTCTCGGAGTTCCTCCGCCCATGTGTTCCGGTGCTCCTGCCCCAACTTCTGTTCATTACGCATAGAATGGTCAAGGTGCTTTTATGCCAAATAGAGAATTTGTTCATAGATGAAGACTGCACCGAATTAGTTATAATCGCACCAGGTTGCATTCCAACAAAGTGCTAGGCGTACAAAGTTACGAAAAATCCGCTACAACTTATCGATCTTAGTTCCCTTTGTCACATTAGCTTTAAGAGAAGGGAACAAATTTATGTGAGGAAACAAACGAGTGACTTGCTAATACAAATGTTAGTTGGCGGGATCACTCTTTTAAGACGATAATCGCAAAGAAATCTTCTGTAATGATAGGTTTGAAGGAAAGGATTATATGATGAGGCAATGATTGTACAACAGTCAGAACTCAGCCATCTGAGGTAACTGAACTGACTGAGTTGAGCTTCCACCCTTCCCCGATCCTGATTTTAATTATCACTGATCATTAGTGTTTCCTTTGTCGTTCAAAAATGTTGAATAAAAGTGCAAACCGGAAACGACAGCCAAGTATTTTGATACACATCCCAGTGAAACAGAACAAAGTGATGTTTCTGCTGATATTTTTGTTCGGTTATTTGTCGCAATAAAAAGCCCCAATTTGTCGTTACTAACAACAAATGATTGCATTTTATCGGTATTTTTGACGCAACGAAAATTATTTGCCCCTGTAACGCGTCCTCTTCTTAGTTGTTTTGGCTTCTCATCAGTAACAAACATAAACGAGGAGGTTGAATTTGTGCTCAAAATTCCGGAAACTATTACCAACAAATATTTTCGTCGTTGTTTGCGTTTTTTTTTTTGAAATTCGTTGGTCTAAATTGCAAATCCCTCCTGCAAAATTTTCCAGTTCCTGGCCAGAAAAAAAAATTTCTGCCTATGGTATTGCAAAGAATTAATAACTGTAAGAACTTTGTTTCATTTCTCTTCATCATCCGAGAAAATTCTGACACGAAAATCGAGAATTGTGAAGAAAACAAAGCTGGTTGCGTTCGTGATTGTTTGTTTTTTTTTTGATGTCATGATACCAATATACAGCTGCACGCATACAACGGTAAAACATTGAATTTTCGGCATATTTAATGTGAACATTGAGACTGTTTTCACTTATCTTTTGTCTCATCCTGAAAGATTTTAATCATGATTGAGTTGGAATAAGCAATGTGAATGATAATTTTTATATTTTCCTCGAAAGAACATCAAGCAATAATGACGAAATAATAATGAATGAATTTATTGTTAATACAGCAACAAAATTACAAGCAATAATGATTCTTTGGTTTTTGTACATGAAGAGATGCTTGACTGCTTATCTATCACATATTCATCATTGTCCATTGGTGTTCCAGTGTTATTGTAACTGAATTGGTGCACTGGTTGTAAGCTGCTTAATGAACGCTAGGTCAACACCCTCGAATAGATTGCCGACTGCATTTCTCCTCTGAATATGTGAACCATCAGCATTGCTTGAATATCGGCGGTTCAAATTGGCAACCATTCTTTTGAGTGCGTCGTCATTCTCATCTTCGATCGAACACTGACTGAACATGGCGGTTGCTGCAGCAATTGACATCGCTTGTTCATGCGCTGACAGAGTGCTAGTCATACCTAAAATACAATTTCAAATAACTCCTTTTAGAAGATGCTCATCTTTACCCTACTACTGCAACACTGATGCCGCAACTAAATCGATATTGAATGACAATCTATATCAAACAGAAACCAGTAACTTTGTTCTTGGAACCACAACCAGGCAGATTCTGTCTGTAAGCCACTATTTGTCTCCTTGATTAATCTGAAAATAATGCGAAAGTTAGCAACAATCAAAAAGTTGCAATCTTGTCAGCTGACGCAAGTTGTATTCAAATAGGCTGAACGATCGGAACACTGGCAATATGACTGCGATTTTTTTTTTGCGAAAAATTCATTGTGACAACTTGAAAAGAAATACGTATATTGCCTTAGATAATATATTTGCATATGTAAATGCAAAAATTGTTCAGCATATTAATTTGAAATTGAAAGCTAAGAATGAGTTAATGTGCAGTTTGCTGTTTAAAAGTGAATGTCTTCAGCACTAGAAATTCACAAGCACAGCTCTCATCTAAAGTGAAACAATGAATACTAACGTTATCAGTTATCAATGAATGAATAATCTGTCACGGTACGATATCACATTCATTCATCGTACACACAGTTCCAACTAATCAATCATACACAAATGCAAAAATTCATAACAACCAATTGACGAGTGCATATTGAAGTACGTCATCAAATATCGCTACACTTTTCTCATTCTCTCTCAACCAAAGCTGCTAAATATTTTATGACGTGATAATTTGCAAAGCGCCGACGTATTTGCCATATCCATCTTTTTTTTTTTTCAAATTACGAACGTAATCTTATGAAGAAATCGGTTTTTTAAAGGAGAGTTCAGATTTGAAGGACGGAAACCGATAAGCGTGACGTAACTTAATACGAGCATTAACAATAACAACGTCACCAAAACTTCATTTTCAAAAGCGCAATATTCACTGGGCGTTTCGAAATGAGAACGAAACACCGAAGAAAAATGAACGAAACATGATATTTCCAGTGGTACTGCTAATGAAAAATGAATCAGTAATTGGATGAAATCAAAGAAGGTACATGATAATATCTATCACCTCACAATAACAATCCAATACATCTCATCAAACAACACGTTTGCTTCCGTTCGTGCCATTTGGCTGCCTGCTAGTCAAATCAACATTGCCTGTTAGTTAGTAGTTGTTACGTCAAAATTTAAATACCGCCTTTCTGCCAGTTACGTCATCACATTATATTGCTGTTGATGCTTTGTATTTATCTGTTTGGATAGAGATGAATCCTGAGAGGGGAAGAGAAAAGAATGTAATAATGTCTGTCGTTTACGCTTTGTGTTTCTTGTTTTCAGCGTATGTCTCTTGCTTACGTCACTTGATATGAAATCAATGAACAATGATGGTTGAAGTGAAGCGAAGAAACAACGAGCATAATATAACCGGTAGGTTACTCGTCGTTTTACATGGTTATTTTCACTAGTAGAGCAATTATATGCGCGTTTACATTCATAAATCGTGCACCAATACCAATAGCACATGAGTTTTGCTTTTGAAGCGTGCGTTCTTCAAAGGACAATGAAAATGTGTGTTTATAATTTTTTCAGTGTTAAAAGTGAATGAGAATTCAGAGTGATTTTTAACGATTTACAAATTAATAAAGCCAGAAGTTACGTAAAATTGTTGATGAAAAATGACTTGTTCATTAAACAAAGAGAGTACAGTATTATGCAAACAAGCACGAAAATTTCTCATCAATCGCATTCCAATTGTAATAAAAGGTACATCTTGACTACGACATAATGTGAAGTGATTGCTTTGATTTAAGCAATTCCATATGGACCACCAAAAAAGAAGCACAAGTCGTTGTTTTCGTACTTTATAAATGTTGTTTATTGTGCAGCCATTGTTTTTTCTTATTAACTGCCGTTTGATAAGGGTTCCAAGTAATGACTATCATTAAGTAGCATTCGTCATTAGCAACCAAATGAACGAAATTATAAAATTGTTTGTGAAGTGCGAACTACAAAGACACATTTGGATGTAAGTGACGCAGTACAATGCTGAAACCATTGGTTCATTTCGAAAAAGTCGATGGCAAAAGAGTGTGATGTCAGTTCATTATCGAGTGCAATACAACGTCATCAGATCGCATGTGTCTATAACGGAAAACTAATCAATGGCCTGCCTGCCTGATCATCTCATTCAGCTATGCGTACGAGGAACTATCACAACGAGAAAAATTTTGGTAATCATATTTCAACCACTCTTAATCTAAAAACTCTTATGACATACTATAACAATCGATAATTTACACTGAATTAAAGCGTACTCAATCAAGTGACAACTTAATTTGGCAATCTCCTTCAAAAAACAACATTCAGCGATAACGTCGACGGAGGATGAAGGCTGAATATCCGAATGCGTGAAGCAGAATAAAATAATGGATGGAACTCTTGTTGTTCGCATATCTCTGATGCGAAACGCTGTTTTAGAGAAAATTATTAGTGAGATTATCTACATCAAGTTTTGATTAAAATTAAATTGTGCATCAGTATCAACGACAAAATCGGTTGGTATAAAAAACGAATGGATATGTGCAAAAGCAAGTCAATTATGGAACCATCAACTGCACGCGAACAAACGACTAATGTTCATTTCTCTATCAAACAACTAAACGACTAATACTGTCGACTTTCTTATTGTGTTGGACATAGTCATTTTTGTGGATTGTTCGTAAATTATTAGGAATCCCGCTGAGCACAAAAAGTTATCACCTTAAGACAATACCCTCTGACCGTCACTTCAACTAATTTCAAATTCAAAACTTTTCATTAGTGTTGGTGTTTACTGATTTTGTTTTGTTTTTTTTTGCTTTGGAAAACGACTGATATGTATTATCAAGGCGCTCTTAGTGAAATTCACACCTACACTTCTACGTGGTAATCACGAAGGACCAGTTCTTTTTCAGACCTTTAACTGGTAACGTAGAAGGACAGAGAGTATAGTATCTGTAAAGCACTGCCACCGCTCCACTTATAGCAGTTTTAGTGGTCGACCTCCGCCTAATCGATAGATTTTTTTGACTCACTCTTAACAAACTACTTAAATGAAAAAAGGCTTCACATGTCATTTGCTCATTAACTTTCTTCAAACACTAACGTCAATTTTTTATTTAATTAACTGAAAATAAAATTTAACAGACGTCATAATTTAAAAATAGACCAACAATATTTAAGCAATTTATTTATTTATTTAATCAGCAAATCCAACTCGTTACGAGTTTATGCCTTTCTGTTATTACCAATACCACTGATATCACTACATCACAAATATCACATTCTTCTTTCCTCGCAGTTACAGCGTTTGGAATCATCTGTCTTTCATAGCAAATAAACAATTAACAAAAGTAAATGATTTAACAGCAACAATAAATAATTAACATTAGTTTAATTACCAATTAACAAATATTATTTAATAACAAAAATTTAATTTGAGTGGAATAATTTAGCAAGACAAACAATTGACAATAATAAATTAACAATTGTATTTAACGAAACGATTAGCAATAATTTAACAACAAAATAGCGATCAGACATAGTCCGATTAAATGCGGATGTACAGCACTGACATCAATCGCGGAATATTAAAACTGGCGCTCTTTTGAGTCAGAAAGGATGATGAACATAGCGCTTGCGGGCATGACTTATCAGAATCATAATTCTTATGAATTCATTATTGAATATTACCAATCCACAACGTTTATTTTCAATATTCTCGTCAATAGGATCATTGTGATCATCCCAGTTACTGCATTCATATTACGGTTTTTTACGTTCCATTTATCGACAATATATCATACACTGTTACTTTTGATGTAGAACCATTGGCTGTTTGAGTATTTTGAACATATCAGAAGAAGAAAAAAAACTTTTTTAGAATCTTCCTCGTAAGAGCGCTAAAAGTGTTTATATGATCAGCTTTGTAATTTCTTGTAAAGACTATGGAATATTTAGATGCAAAGCAAGAGAAAAAGGTCCTTTCCTTCGTTTGGTATGAACAGGCATAGGAACAAAGTATTTTATTGCTCGTATAAATGCATACATACAGTTCAATGGCTCAAAGTTCCGTTGTTCAAATAGCTTAGAGTAATAATAATTACATTTCGTAAGAATTTTCAAGAATACTTTTGCTGGCTTGAATTCTTGTTTCGATACTTCGATTTTGTTGTTCTACTCCAATTTCAAATATGTAATCAGTTTTTCTGCATCCATTAACAATAGCTTTCTTCAAGCTGAATAGGTTTCTTCAGGTAAGACATACCGGTAATGTTGCCGATATGCTCCCAAAACGTCAACAGCGAGCAAAAATTTTTCCAAGTCCAAGATCTCTCATATGAAGGCCACAATGCTCTGTTCCAGCGACAGATCTGAATTCCTAAATGTATTCATATTTCTGGGCTAGCTCTGTCACCTACGCAGCGCTACACATTTGATCTCTCTGTCGGTCATCAATGAACACTCAACTGTAGCAATGTATAATCACAAACTTTAGACGATCCCTAGGCTTTGAGCAGTTTCACGCGATTTTTTGCTATTCATTTTAGGAAAGTGCGAAGCGAAAGAAAAGCATGATTCATGTGAAACGCTCAATTGCAAGGAAGCCGAGCTTACAATCTGGTGCTTCGGGCATATTTAGAACTCTTTTTGGGGAGAGCCGCTGTATAACATTCATATGAAACGAAAAATTAATTTTCTGAAAACTGTATGATCACATGGATAAATTCGTTTCATTGAACAGCTATGGTAACATTTAGCATGGTTCTCACCAAATTTTACACGTCTCTTCAGATAGGATATGCTTCTCATGATTTATTGATAAATAGAAAAGCGTATTTGTTATCAGGTGATAATTCTTGCTCCTAAAGGTATCGTCTCATGACTTCTTATGCAAATCAACTCAGGGAAAATGAACCATTGCTGAGATAGTCAACAAGAATGATCGGTTCCAGTGATATGCAACTCAG